GTGAAAACTTGTTGGCTGCACGATTGTGCTCGCTGGGGATTTGAATGGCACGAATCAACCTCAGATGCTTCTGACTCCAGAGGAGGAGGTGGCGGGCGAGTTGCGACAAGCGACAGGAGCGCAGACCACCTTGTCGGTTGATCTACGCAACGGTCGCTGTGTTGTCCATACGGACTAGCACATGCTTGCCTCATAAGAGCCCTTTGTGACGGCTCAGGGCAAGGTGCACTGCCAGCAACTCGAGGCAGTTGATGTGCCAGTGCAGTTGGGGCCCCGTCCAGAACGATAGAACCGCTCGGCTCTGAAGCGAAAAAGCTGAATATGCGCTGCATCTGCTTCCTACTTATACTCACGCTGTGATCAGCAGCAGCTGGATGCAATAATCGCATGCCAATGTGCATTGGCTCGTTTAGTTTACACTCTAAGTAGATTGGTCTCTCTAAGCGAGATCCCAATTCGTCGGTCTTCCGACGTGACGTCGGGAGTGACCGACTGAAAGGGAACCCAAGATTAATGATTGAAGAGACAACATCATGACCATCACATGAGGGAAATCATTAGTAGAGACTTTGTTGGGTGGTTTCCCCCAACCAGGACAAGAACCAGACTGAGATTCCTTATGAGACCTTTTAACCTTTTTGTTCCTCACAAAGCATGTCCTCACATTCACAGAACGACAGAGAGACAGTCTTTTACAGATGTAGATGCACCAAAATGATCTCAAAAGGACTTATAAATGAATATCAGTCCATTGCTTAACTCCATATCTGTAACCACACATTTGACTATCATAACTCCATATCATGTATGTAACCCACACATTTGACTATCACGTTCTAATCACTTGTTGTCTATGTACTTTTTATAACTATTGAATAGTTTATAGGTTTATATTCAGGTTGGGTATGTACGAGTTTGAAAGTTCATGCTTTAAATGTTTCTATCAATCAATACTTTGTCAAATGTATTACATTCTTGTTATAGAAATTGTGTCCAAATTATACTCTGCAAGAGCGGGAAAATGTGGACCATGTGACTGATAAGATAACATGTTGATTTATGTATTGGGAAGAGAAACATTGCAACACCTCAAGCAAAGACCATGTCTAATTGGTCAAGACACCATTTGGGATGTGTCCAACAGCCATGTTTAAATACTCAGGACACCATCAAATGATGCTTTTCCTTGCCTTTTTGCCACCGCGTTTTGACGCTTCTTTTCAGCGCTCTTTGAGCATGCTCTGGCTTACACGCCAGTTGCTCCTCTAAAACCATGAGGAGAAACGCCATCTAGTCTCGCTCAGGACACCATCAAATTATGCTTTTTGCCACTGCTTTTTGCACTTAGCCTTTTTGCCACCACTGCTTTTTAGCGCTCTTTGAGCATGCTCTGTCTTACATGCCAGCTGCTCCTCTAAAACCATGAGGAGAAACACCATCTAGTCTTGTCACTCTTCTTTCTGGCTTCTACTTTAATTTATTTTCTTTTCCATTGAGAGTTTAGTGTTCTGAGTTCAGTTTTGCCGCAACGCTGAGTCTCCGAGTTCACCTCGAGTTCACCTCGAGTCTGTCACCGCCTCAAAACTTCAACCAGCCCACAACTCCGCATCTTCAGCCAACGCCCAACCATTGGCTTCCCAAGACATCACTTCAACGACTACTGAACTTCCAGCCAATCAACAACCTCGGGAAACACCCTTTCTGCAACAATGACAACAAAGGGAAACCCCCTACACAGGCAATGCAAGTACCTCCAGATTCTAGCTGAACTGGTGCGTTTAATATAAATTGTAACCTCATTGAGGAACTCAGTGCGAGGGTTATTAAGTGATTGATGGTTGTTCAGGTCTATGCAATTGCACATATTGCTATAAACTTGGGATTTCACATTTTCATTCTCTTAAACTCATTCTTTCCTCACTTTCTCTCTTCCTGCAACTTGTATGAATGTGTGAGTGCATGTGTTTATGTGTTAGATTAGTTCATATTGTCTTAGATTTATCCAATAAAGTCTCATTCATATTGAAAAGAGAAGTATCTTGTGTTTTGTGCTTACAAGTGAATGTCTTAAACTGCTGATCTTGTTACTGTGCTAATTAATAGTGTTTTCACTATATTTTGGATTTGTAGCGTCTGCGTAGAATCATGCATGATCTTTGGGTTTTATGGCATAAGAGACCCCTTTTAGCTTTTGACATTTGCATATAAATTACAGTCCTGGTCACAGACTTTACACTTATATGGGTGCTAAATGGCCAATGGTTCCCCCCCACAATCAAGGAGATGCTAAACAGTCCCCCCACTATCATCTCCCCATCTGATTTCAAACACTCTCCAAAGAGACGTAAATGACCCCCAGGGCCAGGCACCGATGGGCCTGCCTGACCAAGCAAACTAACACACACACACAAACACACACACACGTAAAGACCTTTTACTCTATAATATCAATTTCAGAGTTGATGTTAAATGGCTCGTTCAATGAATTGCTGGCCAGCTCAGTGATCAGCCGTAAAACAGTGATTCTGTTCAAATGCCCTATTAAAACATAAATGATTCCCTTTGAGCTAAATTGACCTGTTTTTCTTACACTCTCATTCACATAAACCCCCACTGCACAATGTTCATCTTGCATCATCACAAAAGCACACAGTGTGCATGATTATATTATTGTACATGATAATATATTATGTTTGTTTTAGAAATTTGGTGCAGCAGAGTGAAAGATACTTGCGTCCATTCGATGTGTGTCACATAAAGGGTCTCTTGAGGAGATGGCTGATTGCAAGCCATTTGTTTGCTGAACTGACTGAACTCGCTGCACGCATTTATGCTGCACACTCTCTCTCTCTCTCTCTCTCTCTCTCTCTCTCTCTTATCCAAGGGAAATCATCAACACTGTCTTGTGTTTGTTGAACTAATGACGTTGTCATTAGTATGCGCAGGTTACTCAACTTCCTGTACATGGTGCTGAACATACCATGACATTACAATATACATAATGTAAAGGATTAAAAAGGTTTATTAATGAATAAAGTTGGAGTGTAACTACATTTCTTTGTGTTGTAAAACAGTCTTGTCTTGATGATTTGCCCTTGCTGTTATAGCCTGGTTCTGCATATGGACAGTTTGTGGGTAATTCCACAGAAACCCTGGCAGCTAGTTTGCTTGTTTTGGTGGGTTATGAAATTTGGCAAGCAATTGTGTGTGTAATCTGTCTGAGGTACTACATCTGCAATCAGTTTATGAAAGGTGTAAATCTTAGGGCTAAAATTTCAGTGCATGCATATTTCACAGATAAATCTCCATTTTGACTGCAGCTGCTAATATGAGCCTATATTTCACACATCCGTCACAACAAATTGGTGTTTTGGAAAAGTGTTGTAGTAGTTTTTGTGCTAGTGTTATAGGAGAAAATGACATCTCAGGAGGCTGTTACCCTGGGGCATTTGGCTATATTAAATCTTATCATAGAAAACAGTATATGAGAGGGATTAAATCTTAGAAAATGTCAAACATTTTGCATCCATCTGTTAACTAAACATAGTGTTGACATTTTAACTGACTGAAAAAAAAGAAACTCAACCAGATTCTTTTCAAACTGCTTCTCTGTCATAACAGTAGTTAACCTGCGAGGGCAAACTGACCATATAACAGTTATACTAATGGCTGGTATAGCACCCTCTGCAGAAACAACAAGAATGAAACACATGTGAACATTTTAGGTAGGCAGGTAATAATAAGCAGTTACTTATGGAGGCTTGCTTTCACGACATACATGATTTCACAATTCAGACTTTTTTCTCACAATTGCAAGTTTATATCTTAAAATTCATACTTTTTTCGAGTTTATGCCTAGCAATTCTATGTACACTAATTTACCAATCTCTCAGAATTGAGAAAAAGCATTTTGATATGAAAAAAGTCTCACAATTCTGTTTATGGCTCACAATTCTATGTTTATATCTACACTAATAATTGTGATATATGAACTGTGAGATAAAAAGTCGCAACCTTTTCTAATTCTCTATTGCTGTTACTACTAGTAAGGGATGAATAAATTGGGGAAACAAAAGTACTTGCAATGTTTACATAAAAAATAAATGATTGCAATTTATAATGCAACATTATTAAAGAGTTCCAGGTATGTCATGCTCAGGCCTATCTTTAGATTTAACACAATTAAATTCATATTGTAAATTTAGCTGTCTTGCGCAACAATGACACTCTTGTTTTTTATAAAATCCATTCAGTATGACTATATAATCTTATCCTATATCCATTATCTAGTGGACCGTTTTTTTTTTCAAGCACTCAAAACACTTACATGTGCGGTTGTCACAAAAATTTGGTTTTAAATAAGTAAATACTATTTTTGAATAGGAAAGTACTAGCCATGGAAATTACAGTTGTAGCTTGCTTTTTCTAATTATATCTCTATTTTTAGTCACTTGTTTACTCAAGTTCCACTAATAAAAATTTTGAAAAATATCGAGATTGCAAAGGGAACCAAAAACCAGTGAAGTCAAGTCAAGCCGCTGGGTTTTACTAGTTAATGAATGTTCACCGCACTTGGCTAACCACTGTAAATGCCACTGCTGTAACTAAGCGCTGCTGAAGATTAAATCTGTATGACTGCTTTCATTTTCAGCATGTTAATTAAATCAGATGAGCTTCCTAATTATTCTAATTGATAAATTACAACTTGATTATGTCATATTACAGCCACGTAAATTCAAAACACTCATTTGCTTGACGAATGCAGCGCTGGCTTGTGTGAATTAAAGCGAGACAGCTTCAGCTTGCATCCCCCACAAAGGGAAATGCACAGAGGTTGTTCATTTATTTGCCGCTCCAGAGCTGTCGTTCTAAGTTCTCGCATGATTCGTCTCTCTTAATCACCACAAATCCAGTGAATTAGAGATAATTCAATTTCATCAGAGCAACTAATCAGGGAATAGGGGTCCGCACCATATAAAGCACACACACTGTGATTATACCCAAATATATTATCTAGTGCTTCTCTATGTAATTATATACAACAGGGGACAACTATCAAGGGGCCGACAGAATTGAGTCTCCCACTTGTTTCACATATGACAAAACTGGTGGAACGGAATAGCAACAGAATGTACCTGAGGTATCGAGAGAGTTACTGTTCTCTCAGCTGAATCATATTATTACGCTCTACGTGTCACTATTCATCAGTAATCATGTACTCAGATTAGCGATCCTTCGACACATTTACACCTATACAAATGCATTTCTTCGAAGTGAACATATGAGAAGAGCTGCAGAGGTTCTGTCGCAATGTTAAAAAGATTATATGGTCACATTTGTAGGTCAGCCGGAAAAGAAGAATGACAAAGACAGTCTATCTTTAGACTCTACTTGATATCAACAACACTGAAAAAACATGTATGTTGGATGTACTGTACAATGATGTGCGTTGGTTTCTACATGATTCAATTATGTTACACAAACATCATTTGTTCATGTAATGTCAACATCATTGAAAGTTATTTTAAAGTAAGCCAGTTAAATGACTTTATATGGTTTCCTGACATGATTCATTTATTCAGTATCATTTTTTTGTGTGTCGTATCACTGAATTAGTACTAGCTAGCTAACAAACTGTGTGAAATAACATAGTAGCATGCTAAATGCTAAGTATTATTTGAGCAATGTGGCCGTCCTTGGCCTAAGCAAAAGCTCCATGCTTCAGCACAATGATGCAATTGAAATGGTTCAACATAATTGAAACTGAAATGTTATCAAGTGTTCCACTTTCTCATCTTGCTCAAAAACATAAAATAAAACTTTGATTTTAACATATTAATCTCACTCAACTCATATCAAACTTTATTTATAGAGCACTTTCAACACCACAAGTGGAACCAAAGTGCTGTACATAGAAGAATAAAAAGAGAAAAAAAAAACAGAAGAAAATGATAAAAGAAGAATAAAAACATAAAATCAATGCAGATAAAGAATACACAACTTACAAAGCATTTTCAAATGCTAATGAAAACAAATAAGTTTTAAGTGCACTCTGAAATGCACCCAAAGTACATTTTAGAAAATTACATTCATCAAAAGCATTAATAAAGTTTACAAGGCAATTATAATTTTGTTTTGTAGGTCGTAAATAACATGATAGAGTAAATTGATATCAAAAAATTTTTATATAGTCTGTTTTATTTATCTTAAGGAATTAGATTATTGTTTTTATTATCGTTATTATATAATTTGAGTAAACTAACTCAAAGTAATTAAGAAAACTCTCACAGTAGACATGCAGATAGTTAAACGATCAACCAACCTTAATTTGTTTGACTAATGAAATCAGTTCACTTAAAAATTTTATTAACATATTAACATTTTTACAGATTTGTAAAAAAGCTATTCTAATTACCATCACATTTTAAAATAAAATAATTTATTTGAAAAGCGGTTATCTGGAGCAAGGGATGTTTTGTTTCACATCAGGTCTAGCGCTCATGTTATGCTTCGTTATTCATTATTCATTGATAATTTAGGTCTACATGACTTTTCAGTCATGTTCTTTGTTTTTTTCGAAAGCGACATTGCATTGAAGGTTCATCAGTTCATGTATTTCCTGGGAATTGAATCCAGGATCTTGGCATTGCTAACATACCATCCTCTACAGTCTGAGCTAAAGGAAGGCAACATTTATTGTCCAAAGAGCAGAACATTTTGTTCTAAAACATTGTAAAGTTGTTTTTGAAATCTACTATTCAGTCCATTAGAACATCTGTGAAACCCAAGCAGAATGGATTTCTGTCAACAAATGTGCATTAACATTTGATTTGTGTTTGAAGTTATTCTTTACAAAATGTTATTTATAAAAGTGTTTCCTAAGTGTGGAATTCTGGTAATATTTTTTAAACAAGGTCTGGCTTCCTGTTTTTATTATGACATTATAACTTTTTTGGCATGACGGATGAAGTTTGGGAAATCAATCAATTTTAAATCGATCCAGCATCTCTGAAGGAGCGTTACCTTTATGTATTGAGCACCGCTGCACCACAGCTATGCCCCCTATGTGAAGAAAGAGCAACACCAGCCAATACATGTCTTGGGTCTTGCTGTTGTGTCTCCAGACCGAATGTCTAAATGGATCACAGTTTCTTCTGGATATGATCTCTAGAGCTCTCAAATATTTATAACATCCAGACTTTTATAATTTATAGAAGCATGATAGTGAGAACAGAGCTTGTGTTTTCTGCAGATTTCATGACATTGCAATGCTGATCTCTTTTCCGAGCATTTGTATTCCTCATATTTCTGCATGTAGCATTTTATAATGGAACAAATAAGATGATAAAAAATTGGAGAATGAGTAAACAGGAGTGGAGAATCAGTTTTCAGCAAAAATGGAAATACAAAGTTGGTAATATAAAATAACTACATGTATGTTAATTAAAAGGAAAATATCTTTTCAAATAATATATTTTATTTTTGCAATCAAAGCAATTATCCTGGCACCCAAAATGACTAGTATAACTAGCAAACATTACTAGTTTGAGTAACATATACTAGATTGTATAACTGAGTTGAATGAGCAGCTTTAACTAGACATTCCACTACAGATGAAACTAAATCCTTCTAACAAACACTAGATATGCAAGAGAGAAGGATAATGTGTTTTTGCTTCAGCAAATATACAGTAATATTGCATTTTGTATCAAAATGCCACAAATTTTTAGGAAGAAGCAGCTTATTAATGGAAACGCCACACACAGGATAACATATTAAAGATGCAGAATTAAAATTGAATGGAATCTACGAGCCCGGTCTCATGAAAATGCGTATAAATAGTACGCCAAATAAAAACGAAAACTTGTGCTATTGATACGCAAAAATGGACTTTGGCGTGCATATGATATGCAGTTTTCGCGTGCATATGTTACGAAATTTGTTGGCGTGCATATGATATGCAGTTTTCGCGTACATATGATACGCATCTACCTCACAACCCTAAACCTACCCATTGCGTAGCATATACACGCCAAAGTCCATTTTTGCGTATAAATACCACGAGTTTTCGTTATTATTTGGCGTACTATTTATACGCACTTTCATGAGATCGGGTTGAATCTACAGACTAACTGCTTTAAGAGTAATTCTCAATGACACATTAATTTTTTTAGTATTAATACTGTTATTAAATAAAAAAACAACTCTTCTAGTGCTCGTTTTATTTTATGATACTCTGTACTCTAGCTTATTCTTGAAACTTAGCATTATAAGTATCACAGGCTATTGTATGACAAATTGCTTGTGATGTTCCTCATTTGTAGATTTCTCTGGATAAAAGCACCTGCTACATGACTTAAAGGGTTAGTTCACCCAAAAATGAAAATTAGGCTGCGTTTTACTCACCCCGAGGCATCCTAGGTGTATATGACTTTCTTCTTTCAGACGAATCCAGTCTGAGTTATATTAAGAATTGGCTTTGATCTTTCAAGCTCTATCATTGCAGTCAGTGGGTGTTGCATTGCTTCAGTCCAAAAAGCTTTTTATTTAACTTATTTTGGACTGAAGCAATGCAACACCCACTGACTGCAAGGATAGTGCTTGAAAGATCAAAGACAATTTTTAATATAACTCCGACTGGATTCGTCTGAAAGAAGAAAGTCATATACACCGAGGATGCCTCGGGGGTGAGTAAAACGCAGCCTAATTTTCATTTTTGGGTGAACTAACCCTTTAATATAGCTGTGTTTGTGCTCTACAAGAAGACAAATAAAATAATGTAAACTCATATCCGCAATAATCATGTATTTATGTATTTTTTAAGTAGCCATCTAATAAGCAGGATAATGTGTTGACAGGTAGTCTAACGAAAAATAAACACAAGTTGATCAAGACTTAACACAAATCAGGGATTGAGTTCCATGTCTGTGGACAGTCTCTTTCTTTTCACATTGTAAAATAATAATTTCAGCTCAATCCAATATGTCATGTACATTTATTTACTTCTAGCCTAAATTCTAAGTCCAATAAATGATAATGTGGTCACACTTTAGTTTGGGGACAAATTCTCACTACTATGACGTTTGCCTCAATAAACTTTTAATTCACTGCTTATTAATTGTTAGTAAGGTAGTTGTTAAGTGTAGGTATGGGGTAGAGATTAAGGGATCTAAGAATAAGGCATTAATATGTGCTATATAAGTACTAATAAACAGCCAATATGCTACTAGTATGCATGCTAATAAACAACTAGTTAATTGTGAGAACTGGTCCTTAAAATAAAGTGATACCATTACTTTAGTCACAAAATCAATTAAATATCTCTTTTGTGTGATTGTGATGGATTTCTTTGAACTGCAAATAAGTAGATTCCTCTTCCTGTCTTTGCATTTTAACATCTAATATAATTTCAAATCCAATTCGATTCTTAAATTCTGCCCATCCCTTACTGATGGACA